GTCGCCGCCTGCCGCCATGGCCTTCCATAAGACTATTCTAAAGGGAGCTCGATACACTGCGACCAGACACCCAAGCCTGGCGAAAGGTTTAGACCTACACTCTTCACAACCCCTCAGACGCTCCAAGCAGCATGTTCTTCGACGTGGAGCTCGGCAACATCGCGACCAGAAACCGACAACGAAACCGTGGGCAAACCCTCACAAGCGCAACTTTCTCCAGGCCTCCATGAAGGCTTTGGTGCCAGACTTGGCCTCGATACTGAAGCAGTAGGGCTACTACGGCTTCGAAGCATCCAGCTCTGCAACAAATCACATGAGTCGATCGAGCGACAATCGTCCCGAGGTTGTTGATCAACTCCTCAGGATTCGCTTGCATTCACCCTGCTTCTGAAGTCTGAGAGGTGGCGATGAGGATACAGATTTACCAACGACCTGTAGCCTGCGTTTTCCAAAAGGGCGGGGCATTCCTCTTGCAGAACAGGCTTCTACAGCCTCTTCTGCTGTTTCGTGCCAGCTTGTGGTGTCCACAGGCTGAAGCAGCGAGCACAGGACCCTTGACAGCGAGCCCCTCCCGAGAATCTTGCCATAACCGATGCAATCCCGTCTTAAGGTCTGCAGCAACCTCCGATTCGCTGACGGCCGAGGGTCGTTCTTGGTCATGCCAATGCCGGAGTCTTCGATGGTCAAGGTCGAATTGGTCTTGTCCGGGATGATCTCAGGTGCACGAGACGAGCAAGATCGAACAGCCGCTTGCATTGACCCTAAACCCACGCCCCTAACCCCTCAACCCCTCGATGCCCGAACTCCTAAGCCTCTAAACTCCCAGACCCCTGAACCCCTGAACTCCCGAACCCCTATAATCCCTATAAAGGCACCAGAAGTCCGACCACACGGTTCCCAAACATGCCCAGGAGCTTTGATGAAGAAGTTGGGCTGCGCCTGCGGTGGCGGAGCTTCTCGATGTCTTTTTTTCTGGACAACTGCGGCTTGCCTGTGATGCCAACCCTGTATTTCACATTATGTTTGACATAACATCTGTATATTAGCTCAAACCTTCCTCTCTTGATTGCTCCTGCCGTGCGAGAAACCACGCATCGGAGACGCGGTTGAGCTCCCGCACTCCCTGCCTCGATCTTGTCTGGATCGGTGATCGATTCGTAGCGAATCTTGTCCAGAGCCTCTGTTCAGCTTTTTTGGCGTGCCGTCGTGTGCACTTCATGTGAAGAAAACGACGAGAAGTCAGCCCAATGGATCCTGAAACGTTGGACTTACTGCTGCGAGCTGCATCCGAGGCGTTGGAGATGAGCTCTCGCAGGAAGATCTCCTTGTTGGAGTAGAAGGTGTTGATGATCAAGCCTCGGCAACCGATGGAACATTACAAACCCAGGGCCTACAATTCGCGCCTTGTTGCATACATGTGTTCGTCTCGAACTCAGCATTTGCGCAGCACGTGTGCAGAAAATCTCAGGATCCGCTCGTTTCGGGCATCTGCTTATGAACTGGAAAATTGCAGACCAACTACAGAACATCTGTTGGCATCAGTCTATGATGAAATGCGCTCAGAAACTCATCAGCTGCTGGATGTCCGCGTTAAATGCGAAAGTCTCCGCCATGATTGTCCTTGCTTCGGATCTACTTCCACCCCCCCGATACGACGCTTCATTGAACAGTTTGCTTCCATCAGGTTTTGGACACACTCTTGAGATGCAGCTTACGACATCCGGATGGTGGCGCGAGGGCTTGATGGATCGGGGAATTGGGAAACTGAACACAAAAAACGCTCAGCCCAAGTCCCACAAAAGCCTAAGTCTTGAAAGCACGGACAACTCAAAACAAAAACCTCCCGCGAGCCCCAATTGAAAGCCAGCAGTCGTCGGAGCTTTTCGAGCTTTTCAGACGTTCGTGAAAGACAAAACTTGAGCCGATGGTGCTGCGAAGCCCTCCCTACCTGAGTCTACGAGCTCGATGGACACAGCAGACGACACGCAGACCTCGCATTGACGGATCAGTGCTGTTTGATGGCAATCTGCCGCGTGACCCTATGCAGCATCATCGCACTTTCCCTTTGCAGTCGATCCTCTGAAACAGGTTTCT